AAAAAAAAAAAAAACTTTAAAAAAAAATAAAATAAAATCTTTTTTATTTCAGAAAAATTTCCCTAAATTCTGGTTTTTAGTATTTAAAAAATTTTTTAAATTTGATTTTCTTCTTTAAGGACCACCATTATCTGTATGTTGGATCTTTGCCTAACTTTAGTATTTGTCACTTTTTCTTGAATACTTTTTATATCTTTTTCATTTACTTATTTCTAAACATTTTTTCCTTTTTTATTTTTTGTAGCTCTTAAGGTGTTGTCGACTGTATATATTTACACTTGGATTCCTTCTAGTTTAGTCTTCATTTCTGAAATTTTTTTTTCTTTTCTGATTTTTTCTTGAGTTCTGTCATCTCATTTTTGAGTGTTTCTATTTCAGATTTTTGTTTGTCTTTCATGTCTTGTTTCATTTTCTTAATCCCTTTAGCTTGTTTCGAAATAGGTTACAGTTTGATCTGTTTTGTCAGAAGTTCCCTTCTGGCATGCTTTTATTGTAGGAATGTTATTCTGCCTCTTTTCCCCTTTTTTTCTAGTAATAACTTCATGTGGAATTTGACCTGGATATTTTTGTTGCTGATTTTTGTGGACAGTTTGGTTTTCTGAACTTTTAAAATGGAGATGAGATTCAAGATAGCTTTTCAAACACCAAAGACTCCTATTATTTTTTTGTAAAAAAAAAAACAAAACAAAAAAACAAGATGGTTTTGCAGCATGGTCCCCTCCACCACTTTTATTTTGACATTCTGTCTTTCCTCTTTATTGTCCCTATCCTGCTCAATTTATATTCCTCTCCCAGTAGTTACTCTTTAGTGTGGTGACTGTGTCCTGGAAGGGAATTCTTGCTTGTCAACTTGAAGAGTTCACAAGAAGTAGATTACTATAGCTTTTTTCAAACTTCTCATGGACTCTTTGTACTTACCTGCTGTGAGACCAGGCAGAGTCCTTCCTACTTGCAACTGCTGTTCTTAGATTGGCTTACTGTTCTGTCCATTGAGTACCTAATTGGTTGTTTGAGGTTTTTCCTGTTCTGAGGTCTGTCGGATACTTTATTGCTTCCTCTTGCACAGATGTCATTACTATGTAGTTTTTATGCTGGGTGGTGGTTCGTCTGCATCTGCTTATATTTTTGAAAGGAGTTACTGGAGGTACCCTTATCACCTAGTTTTATTGTGAATGTTAAGTGTGAACTTGAAGTTTGGTCTTGTAGCTGTTCTGTTCAGGGAGTTTAGAAAACTGTGTTGCTGCTGCTGTCATCTTCCTAGGTTCCTATCCCGCCCCTGTCTCTGTTTTTTTTTTTTTTTTTT